ATTTAGTTATGTTAGTTATGATAGTTTAGTTATGATGTAAATACAATAAAAGATTTAGATTTAGAATAATTATCATATTGATCCATACATTGGTAATGTGTGACTGGGCCTCGTGTCACTTTATGTTCAAYAAATTGGGCCCCGAGGTCAAAAAGGTTAAGAAGCCCTGCCTTTGAGGACGGTGGACACCCTTGGATGTCCACTTTTCAGCAGGGTTTTGGTCTGAAAATGGGTGTGGTGCTTCTGAGCAGGTCCAGTCAGAGTGTTTCTGTGATTGACGGTTCTGAGGGTCTTATGTTGAGCTGCGGGGATCAGGTCGTCTTCAGGCTGAGATGTTCCTCACAGCTCTGATGTTTTCAGCTGCTCTGATCCTTCTGTTGTTGGRCCTGTTGGATCCGGTACATCTGTGTTCTGACAGTTGGTTCTGTTTGTTCTCAGGCGGTGGAAGAGCTGCTGGAGTCTCTGGAGCTGGAGAAGAACACCTACCACATGGGTCTGAGCAGGGTGAGCACTCACACACRTCTCTCATTTTGTTTTTAAAACAACTTTAATAACCTCTGCTGCACAGAGACAAGCAGCTTTGTTCATAAACTCCTCTCAGTTCACATCTTTTTATGGAAACATTGACATCTGTGCACTAGCTGAACAAATCAGAGCCGGGCCGGGGTCGGGGCAAATGACCGGGCCCTTTACACCAAATAATAAAGCTCATGATGACATCATTTTATACAACATACACGTGCCTGCAACAGCAGGGCTTACAAGCTTCAGCACCACAGAGAGAGACCATGTTATTGTGAAGTCCATCAAACAGACATGAAGTATAGCAAACCAAGAAAAAAACATTCAGCTACTAATGATAAAACAACACAAATTCTAAACAGTTCAGCAGCACAGGTAGTGGTCCGGTCATTTTGACACCARCTTTATCTATTTCAGCTCAGAGCCTGTACCATCAGTAGCTAAAGTTCAGTAACCCTGGCACAGCGGCCCACATGTTCACAAACACAATTTCAAAAAGAAGTAGCTACTCACCACTATTGAAGGACTCTATTGTGCTCYGAGAACTCGTCTGTGATGCTCTGTCTTTGATCTCTTATTCTGTACAACATGAGTCCTCTGTATCCCACTGTGTCCCACTCAAGTGAAGCATGTCAAGTTCTACGGACTGTCTGTCATTTTTTCCTCATTTTGCAGGTATACTGAAGTTAACAGACCAATCTCCCAAATGTTTTCAAGTTTTACGGATTAAAAAAAACGTAGTTTCAAACTTATTTAACATTTCAGAGCCTGTARGAYGTTAAAAAACAATAAATAACATCAAATAACCRTCTTCCAACCCGCTCTGCCGCTATAAGTTCTCCCCTCCTCATTTCTTCCTGCTCTGCACCATCATGAGGAGCCAGTGTAAATACTGTCCTGATTATAATGGTTGAATATTTCCTGCAGAGGTTGGACCAGAGCAGAATAGCATGGTGTAAATTGAGGGTTAAGTTCTTTCTCCCTCTGGACCCGACAAGGTCCAGTCTCACTCCGGGCCCSGCCCTCCCAGCCCCCCTCTGAAGCTCCGCCCCTAGGGTTGTGTATTGGCAAGAATTTGGCGATACAATACATATCATGACAGAGGGTCCATGATACAATATTTCACGATATATTGTGGTATTGTAAGCAAGGACATGGATTATTGATCATCAGGGCACCAGCTGATCAGGATCACTGAAACAGGAGGGTAATGTTTGAAGAAATATTCTCAGAAAATACATCTAACAACCATTAAAAGAAGCCTCCTGTCCATCTGCTCCGGCAGGTCTTCTTCAGAGCGGGGACTTTGTCCAGGCTGGAGGAGCAGCGGGACGTCCAGACCAGGAGGAACATCTCTCTGTTCCAGGCTGCCTGCAGAGGGTATCTGTCCAGACAGGCCTTCAAGAAGAGGAAGGTACAACTTCAAACATTTACATCACATCCAGTCGGACTTTTCTTTCTGCGCACGTCATCACCTGACACAGTCCTCTCAGGTGCAAATATATTTCTATGAAGGAGAAGAAGACAGCATGTAGTCAGTTTGTGTTTCTGTTGCACAGATCCAGAACCTGGCCATCCGCTGCATCCAGAAGAACATAAAGAAGAATCGTGGAGTAAAAGGCTGGCCCTGGTGGAAGCTCTTCACCACCGTCAGACCTTTGATCGAGGTGCAGCTCACTGAGGAACAGATCCGTGGCAAAGATGTGAGTTTCCTTCAGTTCTGACTCTCTGAATTCTCATCTGTAGAGTTTATATTGTAGTTAAAGGATTCTTTATTTGAATAAATGTTTATAAAAACTGTAGACTCTTAATGTTAAAGGTCTCATATATCTTATCTTCTGTCATTATTTCTCAGAAAATGGTTATTTTTGAAAGAATCATAAGCATTAAGAGAGCTGGAATATATTAGATAACATTTGAAGATTTATTCTAACAACACTGAACATGTAGCTGTTTGTAGACCCGGTCCTGAGACTTTACAGAATCATGTGTGTGTTCTGTCAGGAGGAGATCCAACAGTTGAAACAGAAACTGGAGAAGGTTGAGAAGGAGAGGAATGAGCTGAGGCTCAACAGTGACCGCCTGGAGAGCAGGGTAAACTCACAACAACGCTTCTTCTTCTTCTTGTTTTAATTCATGAAGCCACTGAGAGGAGCCGAGCGTCTGCTTTGATCAAACTCAAACTTCCAGCTAACTTAGCTTCAGTTAGCTTTCATTGATTTGCTGAGTGAAGAATGATGTCCTTTAGTTTTATTAAAGGATATTTGATCATACGTGGTGTGTGTGTGTCGGCAGATCACAGAAMTGTCGTCAGAGCTGACTGATGAGAGGAACACCGGGGAGTCAGCCTCCCAGCTGCTGGAGGCTGAGACTGCAGAGAGACTCCGTCTGGATAAAGACTTGAAGGAGCTGCAGGTAAAACTACCAGAACCCAACAGAACCTCGTCTGGGTTCTCAGTGTGTGTTCATCTACAGTTTCTGTGATGGTGAAAATAACAGTTCAGCTCAGAATACTGTTAAATATGTGCTGCAGCTGAAAAAACACTTGATTTGGTGTAAAAATACACAATTTTCTTTTACATAAAAGTTGAAATGAGTTTTTCAGCCCATTAATATTTAGAACAAAGTAGTGTGGTCCTAGGACAGTTTCCTGAGGTACATTAAGTGAGTACTGTGAGTCAGCATGGAGGGACCTGTGTCTGACAGACTGGATCKAAACCAGGGCTTCAGTTCCAGCCTCATTAGATAATAAAACAACCCAACTGAGAACAACTTTACTGGTCAGATAAAGCTGCTGATTTAAACTTGATCTAAAGTTTGTTACATTAATGACCTTTATTCCTGAACCACTGTAAAACCCAAAGTTTATATTCAGAGTTCAGTCTGGTCACAGAGCAGTAAGAGCGTTCCACCATCAMTCCTAGTTTAGACCTCCATGTGGCGAGAGGTGTCATGATGCTGTCATAGAAACCACTTGTTCCCTTCTTTTCAATCAGAGCAAGTTTGACAGCATGAATAAACAGATGGAGTCCATGGAGATGGAGGTGATGGAAGCTCGCCTCATCAGGGCGTCTGAGCTGAACGGAGAGATGGACGATGACGGCACAGGTGAGACACCTACACTCAGCCCTGATGACCAGAAGACCCGGTCCCAATACTCACCCTGCACCCCTGTTAAAAAAAACATTGCCTTGCTACAGTTTTGATTGAAGACATTTTATTATATTTATCCACTCTAAGAGTACAAACAAAAAGCTGTAAACACATACAAATGTTGTAGCTCGTTGAATATATTTAATTTATGATTTTTTTTTGTCCGTCCGTTTTTGTCCGCTTATCTGTGGTCGGGTCTCGGRGGCAGCAGCCYAAGCAGAGAGACCCAGACCTCTCTCCCCAGCCACTTGGGCCAGCTCGTCTGGTGGAATCCCAAGGTGTTCCCAGGCCAGCTGAGAAATATGGTGGGATGTGCCCAGAACACCTCACCAGGGAGGCATCCACGAGGCATCATAACCAGATGAACCACCTCAACTGGCTCCTCTCGATGTGGAGGAGCAGCGGCTCTACTCTGAGTCCCTCCCAGGTGACTGAGCTTCTCACCCTATCTCTAAGGGAGAGCCCAGTCCGCTTGTATCCGTGATCTCGTTCTTTCAGTCACTACCCAAAGCTTGTGACCATAGATGAGGGTAAGAACGTAGACCGACCGGTAAACCGAGAGCTTCACCTTCTGGCTCAACTCTCTCTTCACCACGACAGACCGGTACAACCCCCGCATCACTGCAGACGTAGCACCAATCCGCCTGTCGATCTCCTTGTCCATTCTTCCCTCATTCGTGAACAAGACCCCAAAATACTTAAAGGGATCCGTGATTAGTTGTAACATTATATTTTATTTAATAAACATATYTTAACAGTAAAATAAAGACACGGACGGGGCCATTTTATTTACACGCAAAGCATTCTGGGTAAATGATGGCATGGATAGGTCCTTGGTGCGAGGCTGCTAGCGAGCTATATCCACCCTGAAGGTTAATCTTGGACAATATCTGATGATCGACTCTTTTAAATGAAACCAGAGAGCGTTGACAGAGAGGAGAAGGTAGAAATGACTCAGCCTGGAACTGAAAATATGGATGGAGGACATCATTTTAGCTTGTTAGTTTGTCACGCTAGGGCCGAGCTAATACATGTAAGTCAATATAGCCTCAGCGCTAGCGCAAAGGCTAACAAACTAAGCTGAGGTTCTTCTTCCATGAAGCAGCTCTGTTGTCCTCCATCCATATTTTCAGTTCCAGGCTGAGTCATTTCTACCTTCTCCTCTCTGTCAACGCTCTCTGGTTTCATTTAAAAGAGTCGATCATCAGATATTGTCCAAGATTAACCTTCAGGGTGGATATAGCTCGCTAGCTCGCTCACACCGAGGACCTATCCACGTCATCATTTACCCAGAATGCTTTGTGTGTAAATAAAATGGCTCCATCCATGTTAAAATATGTTTTTAAACATTTACAAAATTAAACAGCCTACAGTATTCAATGGACCTGGTACTCCATACTCCCGTAGTACCCCCCACAGGAGTCCCCAAGGGACACAGTCGAAAGCCTTCTCCAAGTCCACAAAACACATGTAGACTGGTTGGGCGAACTGCCACGCACCCTCCAGGACCCTGCTTAAGGTGTAGAGCTGGTCTGCTGTTACACGACCAGGACGTAAACCACACTGCTCTTCCTGAATCTGAGATTCTGCTATCCGATGGACCCTCCTCTCCAGAACCCCTGAATAGACCTTACCGGTGAGGCTCAGAAGTGTGATCCCCCAATAGTTGGAACACACTCTGCCGTCCCCCTTTTTAAATAGGGAGACTTCCACCCCGGTCTGCCAATCCAGGGCCACTACCCCTGATGTCCACGTGATATTGTAGTCGCGTCATCCAACGCAACCTCACAACATCCAGAGCCTTAAGGAACTCCGCGTGAATCTCATCCACCCCCGGCACCTTGCCACCGAGGAGATTTTTAACCACCTCAGTGACCTCGACACCAGAGATTGGAGAGTCCAATCCAGGGACCTCAGGCTCTGCTTCCTCATGGGAAGACATGTCGGTAGGATTGAGGAGGTCTTCGAAGTATTCTGCCCACTGACACACAACGTCCCCAGTTGAGGTCAGCAGCGCACCATCCCCACCATAAATAGTGTTGGTGGTGAACCACTTCCCCCCGAGACGCCGGATGGTGGACCAGAATCGCCTTGAAGCCGTACAGAAGTATTTTTCCACGGCCTCTCCGAACTCCTCCCACATCAAAATTTTTGTCTCAGCGACAACCCGAGCCGCAATCCGCTTGGACTGCCGATACCTATCGGCTGCTTCCTGAGTCCCACAGGCCAAAAAGACCCGATAGAACTCCGTCAGCCTGACAGCATCTCTCACCGCCGGTGTCCACCAGCGGGTTCGAGGTTTGCCGCCACGACTGGCACTGACAGCCTTACGGCCACAGCTCAGGTAAGCTGCATCAACAATGGAGGTACAGAACATTGCCCACTTGGACTCAATCCCCCCCACCTCCCCCGGAACGTGTTCGAAGTTCCCCCGGAGGTGTGAGATGAAGCTCCGTGTGACGGGAGACTCTGACTGATGTTCCCAGCAGACCCTCACTATATGTTTGGGTCTGCCAGGTCTGACCAGCATCCTCCCCCGCCAACAGTCCCAACTCATCACCAGGTAGTGGTCAGTTGACAGCTCCGCCCCTCTCTTCAYCCGAGTGTCCAAGACATGCCGGGGGGGTTGTTCCTCCCAACCATGTCCCTCCAGGTCTCACTGTCWTWACCCACGTGAGCGTTGAAATCCCCCAGCAGAGCGAGGGAGTCAGGGCACCCCCTCCAAGGACTCCAGAAAGGGTGGGTAATCTGAACTGTTGTTAGGATCATAGGCACAAACAACAGTCAGGACCCGTCCCCCCACCCGTAGTTGGAGGGAGGCTACCCTCTCTTTCTCTGGGGTGAACGCCAACCTACAGGCACCAAGATGGGGGCCAGTAAGTATGTCCACTCCTGCTCAGCGCCTCTCAGCAGATTTTTCYTAGATTTCTTTTTGTACTAAATGTATTTAATGCAGAAAACTATCCACCTGGCATACTTTAATTATTCCGTTTTGTTTTTTGTTCTCATGTTCTCTCTTTGTATTTGTACTTGATCTTATATTTGTAAAGATTTTTTTAATTAAAAAAAACATTCAAAACACAKACAGCGATGAATTGTGATTAATACACTTCACCAAAATCTGCTTGATGCAGGCTTCAGTGAAGTGTAGGTCAAGGGCACAAAGGGGGTGGTGCCAAAGACTACGTCCGAGARTTGGGACACACTACACACTCGAACCCTTCCGATAGATGTCCATGTCAGATGTCTTGTGCTTTTTCTTGGATAGAAACTGACTTGTTTTCACTGTAACCAAATTTACCTGCGGGCACGAATAAAATCGAATGAAGGAACGAACGAAACAAACGAACGAACGCGTATTTGAAGTACACAAGGGTGGAAGCGCGAGTACTGGGACCAGGCTGAAGTGACTCAGATCTGATGACCGGAATTGAATACTGTATATTCTGTATATATTTTGTATTTGTTCAGATCTTWAGTTGTGTTTCTGCACATTCTAAAGACTACCAGTAGTTTTGTTTAAATGAAGACTTTCACAGAAATGGTTTGACTCTTTGATTAAAGCTGTCTCTATAGATCTAGATCTATAAGTCAGGTGTATATCCTCTGGGTGCCTGGTCGCGCAGAGAGTCCTGACCACACTGTGGTTGTGTTGATGGAGCAGGAGGAGARTGGAGGCTGAAGTATGAACGAGCCATCAGAGAGATTGAATTCACCAAGAAGAGACTGCAGCAGGAGTATGATGACAAGCTGGAGGTGGAGCAGCAGAACAAACGACAGCTGGAGAGACGGGTGAGACCACGTGCACTGGCCTCTGCTCAACATGCACACAGTTTATTAACCCTTCACAGGCAAAGACCAGCAGCTCTGAACGAATACAGCTGATCAGACACATTTCATCTCAGTTTTATACTGTACTGTAGTCATCAGTCACTTCCTGTACAGTCACTGTCCAAATCCAAAATTWGTTTTTGTAATGACTTGTGCAGCTCTTTTACTTCAAGGATTCTGGTTCATCATCTTCGCTGACATGCGTTTATGCATTTAAAAATATTTTTCTGGTATTTTTATTGTAAAATCAGCAGTAGACTTGCTGGATTTGTTCTTTGTCAATGAAAAGAAATAATTACAGTATGCTTTTGTAAGACAAGTGCAAAATACAGTTAACAATAAATGCTTGATTGTTATTTCAACCTTTACCTTATCTGTATTATTAAAACAGTTTTAATACTTCATTAAACTATAGTATTATAGAATAAAATCTAGTATAGTTAGAATGCCTTTGATCAAACTGCCAGTTAAAGTGTATCTTACCCCCCCTCCCCCTCCCGTGAAAGGATAACTCTGCCCCAAGGCAAAATTTAAAAAAAAAAATGCCTACAGTGGTTGGTGCAGGGGGGAGTGCGGCCAGGACAGAGAACATGACATGCTAACATTTCTGATCGTTCTAAACAAGTTATGCTTTGTAAAAAGTAAAGTTTCATGACACACACAATGATTCATGACATATTTCATTTAAAATGATCAAGTCAGCTCAGTCTGGGACTGACTMCCGTTGTCTCCCTGGATCAGGACACGAAGCTCTTTACCGCAGCCTCGGCTGAGCTCTGTCCGACCCAGACTGCCCCGCTTCACTGCGCTGTCTGCCTTTTTTTTCTCCTCCCTCTGTGTGTGCACACATTCTGTTCTTGTTTACCTGTTTCTGCAGGACGTACAGCGGGCTGGGGTGTGCGTGTCTGTGTGTGTGTGAGCGCAGCACAGACAGCCTCCCKCTCCTCCTCTCCCCACCCGAGGCTGAGAGAGACTGAGGGAGAGTCAGGCTGTGGAGCTCATTGGGGTTAAAGTCTTATCAGATCGAGCTGCTAGTTCAAAGGTTGATTCAGCGATACACGAAGCCTTGTGTTGCTGAGGCATTGTGTGTCTGTGTGTGTGACTGCGTTCAAGTGATGTTAGCTGCTGACATGCTAATACGAAGCTGTAACAGACGATCGTGCTATGCTAGCTGTTCCAACCCCTGACTGCTGCAGGGCCGTGTCTTGGAGAGAGGCTTTTATATCAGAACACGGCCGCTGTGACGAAACYGTGGAGAGCCGTTAACCAATATGTAAATTAGCCTGCAGTACMACKGCTCWACCCATATGAGCAGCAAAAACACGTTTTTAGACCAAATATTACAGATTTGAACAAATACGCACAAAAAACATCAAAATTAGCACAGAAACAGTACTATATAACATTTTAGACACATTCTAGACAGTTTATCAGCTAAAATTTTTTAAAAAGCAGATGTCTTCCCTTTAATTAGATGCAAGATGATTAGACTAGAGACACTCCCATTCTTTGTCTGAAGAACCTTGTTTTTCCCGCCAGACATTTTGATTGGTTAAAAAAACTTTACCAGAGTTTCAATTGGCTAACTAAAAACCTTGACTCCGCCCATGACAGAGGTTTTAAAAGTTAATGCACAAAGATGAAGCCAGTTGGTTTTTGGTTGTTAAGAAAAAGTCACCAAAGAAGGAGGACAGAGAAGCAGCCAGGTTGAAGACCCCCTCTTGCCAGAGGGGGGG